GTGTCTGTATGGCGAGAAAAGGAATTGCTACTCTTTATATATAACTCTTTTCTGCATTATTGTATCGAGTAACAAAACAATATATTGAATATATTGATGCTGAAATACCAACGATCATTTATAGCGATAAACCTTGTCAACATGATAGAGATTAGATCTTTAGCGATAAGAAAAATTGTCAAGTTAACACACATAATGTTTCTGTAAATAATATTTTATACTATAAATGTAGTAAAAATGATTGTTGGAAAATAAAAGATTGTATATGTTATCTTTGTTATATCAATAAGCTTGTTTTTTATTTATAATCAATAGGCTTATTTTTTTTTTAGATTTACACAGTCCATTTTTTCTCTGTTTTTTTCTCTAATATAGAAAGAAAAGGAAAAAAGATGAATTATGTAAAAAATTCAGCTAAAAAGAATAGATCTAATGTAAATATTGATCAATATTTATATAATTATTTATAAAAATTTATGCTTATTTAATATAAAATTTGTTCATTGGACTTGTTCAATTTTCATAGGTGTGCAAAAATTGGAGATACACCTTGTTCCACCCAAACTTCTGGAAAAAAATCACTTTTGTGTTCAGAGATCAGGATAGTGTTTTGTGGGCTCGGTTCGTAAGATTCACCCATCTGTTTGCAGATTCATTAAGTGTTACACCGTACATATAGCATGTTTGTTATAGATTCTTGGCAAATCGTTTTGCTCTGAGTGTACACGAAGCTACGATTCGTTGGGCTAAATCTAGATCTAGAAAGATCAATTGCACAGGAGAAACGTATAGGCTCTTGAAGAAATTAAGCCACAATAGACAATTGAGAAAATTGTGCTTGGAATTCTATAGTAATACTAGTGATTCTCCTTTTGACAACGAGGATGACAGGTATTAATCTTAGTTAGTGTACAAATCAACTGTCTTGTTACATTTAATAAATAAATAATAAAATTAGATTGTTTGTATTTTAGTAATTACAAGAGTTCTTCATCATTAGAAAGATGTGTGATAAATATTATTGAGACTTCTAATTACTTGGAAGTCCTAAGTCTAGGGTGCAGGGAAGAGTTGATTATGAATTTATCTGCAATTGTGGAACCTCTCCGTCTTCATCACTCCAAACATTTAACACACCTCAGTCTGGCATCTATCAAGGACGATCCTGACTATTATGACTTCTTTGAATTTGATAACACTATTTTTAATTCGTTTATCAGATTGTCTATCTTAACTTTAGATTATGAGTATGTCAGTGATGCTTTGTTGGAAGCGTTAGATAATGGATGTATGCAGAGACTTGTGATTCATATACATGGCTGGAAACCGGATTATCCAGGAACAACAAATATAGCTTGGAAAATGTTTGTTCAAAAAAAGTGAGTTACTGTAATTGTCACATGATAGTCATTGAAAATTATTTTGATCATTTACAAAAATAGGTAGTTAAAAAAGGACGTACCTAAATATTTATTTATTTGCAGTCCACATTGTGAATTAAGGCTCAATCTTATACATTCTTATGCCGGTGTCAAGGTTTTGGATACTGACATATTATGTCCTGCTATGCCACTGACACACTTACAAGTTCTATTCTGTGAAAACATTAATATCAGTGCGTTACATCGATTATCAATGTGGTATTCACATACATTGCAATCATTGACATGGGTAGATTCGATAGATTACAAGCAGAGTATACCATCTACATTTGATCCAAACGATCCACATGGGTAAGAAAATTCTTTATACCTTAACTTAATATATTCTCTGATGAGAGAGTATATTATATATTTGTATATAATTCCATTATAGTCCAGATCCTTTGGTGTTAGTGGCATGGAAGTGTAATAAACTTATGAAGATGATGTTCCTGGGTCATAAATATTATCAAGAGAATCTATTGGCCATCGCGCGTCTCAGAGGCAATACTCTTAAATCATTGGTATTTGCAAAAAGTGATATCACATCTGAAGTTGAATTGTGGCTCGAAGCTGAAAATATCAGACGTGTGAGTATACAAAAATTTTGGCAAATGTCTTTTATATTTTTTCTTCTATATTTTCTATATAAGAAATTAAACATTTGTACGATAAGAAACTAACGATTGTTTCTTAAAATCGAATAATCTTAAAAATATTAAATATTTTAACATTTAGGAAATTCGAGAAATAATGGGTCCACATTGGAGGCCCTTGAGTGACTCAGATTTGCCAAAAGTGATATTAGATCCTTTCAATGGCGATAGTAGAGAAGTGATTGAACCGTTGGTTCTTGGTGATCAGAAATAATTCTCAGACAGACGCCAAGGAAAATCTCTATCCAGTGTGATTGTCCAAAAACCATCTCCGGGCCACCAACATTCTCAGAAGTAATGTTATTAAATTACATCTTTTATTCTTCTACAAAATTTGTTTAATGAGGGTGAAACATCGAACAGCAAATATGCAGTATAAGTTCGAAATCTCGTTATCGTTTTCCGAGTTGGGAATTCTGGGTGCAATGTGTAAGAGATACAAAGAGATAAACGCACACATAACTTTCTCCTCGTTTACCAATACTTCTATCGGTTATTATATATGAATGTGATAAATTGTAGTCAAACTAGATCTACTTTTGACTTGTTGATGATATATCTGATGCAAATTACATTTGCAAACAATGAGATGATCTCTTCAACTAAGAGACGATCTCTCCAGTGATTTATATGCACTATAGTTTTCTTCTTATGGAAACCATGAGTCGCGCTTTGATGTTAACAAAGCGATGTTAGAAGTGTGATCACGAATGTACATTAAGTGCGATATGTAAATGTATATCGCCCCTCTCGTCTATTAAGTCGATATTGCCAGAAGAAACCAGAATACATTTTATATAACTACATTTATTATTCTGGTCAAAGAGAGCGGCACATTAGAATGACGTAGCTGAGAACAAGATCACAATGTAAGAAGACTGTCGTGAATCTTGTAAGAGATGTATCATGCAAAGCGGAGCTGGAGCAAGGATACGAATGACTTGTTCAGCAGAAAAAAAGAAAGTGTGCAACATGTAGGAGAGAGAAAGAGAGAGAGAGAGAGAGAGAGAGAGAGAGAGAGAGAGAGAGAGGTTCGGATCTCGTGATCTTCCACTGGAAAGAATAACAAAATTCCACAAACATATGTAAGTAGAAATGCGTTTAACAACATATTTTTCCAATTCTCTGAGAAGTTAGGTGATAGTGAGCGCCAAGAGCATGACGTGCGAGAGTAAATATCTAGTAAGACTTCGCGAAGAGTTCGTCGAAATGAGCGGCGCGAGAGCATAAAGAGTCTTGAAGACAAAGAGAAAGTAGAAAGAGAGCACAAAGTCAATACAGCGATCCGAGGTTATTTTTAATACCAAGACCAATCGGACGCTTTTGTACAAATGTTAACATAGCGCGATCCACTCGACGAAGTACGTAGAACGCAGTTGCGAGCGAAAACGAAACGAAAAAGAAAAAGATCGCTTGATATATATATCCACCACCTATTTATGTATAACTTTCGATAGGTGATAATGAGTAGCGATCGAACGCAAATATATCTATACTCATCGTGCTCTTAGCGACCGCTGATGACGAACATACACGAATGTAGGTATATCTGTAAAATCGGAGTTATTAATCGCTAATCGTATATGTATGTATATGTATGTATAACTGTATTATCTGTCGAACTTTAAACACGTCAACATCCGGACGCAGCGCGCATCTATTTCTGTCGTGCGATTAACAGTGACGATTCTGAGAGCGTGTTTAAAAGAGAGAAAGGAAGCAAGAGAAGAAAAGAGTGAGAGAGAGAGAGAGCGCTATTCGTAACAAAGATAAAATACCAAAATGTAACCGTATATGCCGTATATACACAGTTTACTATTCCGAGAGGTTCTTTACTTTTTTCGAGCCCTTGTATAATTATATTACATTATCGTGTATCGTAACTTATAGTCACACGTGTATTAATATTGGTTTTTATATGTGGTTTCTGTACATATATCTCTCCATGCGTTCGAGACACTGGATACACGCGCGAACGACGCGAAAATGCGGAAAAAAATATACAAGAGGAAGAAGGGAGAGATAAGGGAAGCACAAAAGGAGGGAGGAGTTGAAAATACGAGGTGGAGAAAAAGCGTTTCTTTTCGACGTACAGCTGTTATACAAGATGAACGGGCCTTAATATGTACCTGAGTCGCGGATAAGGGTAAATTCACTGAGAAAATCTGTCACGCGACATCCACCATAGAAAGATAACCAGATTAAACACCTTAGAAACGGCCGCCGTCCTCCGTGAATGTGCGGTACGCCATGTGCACACGCGCCCACGTTCGCCAGGACTATGGCCATCAACTTAAGGTATATCACGCTCGTGCCCTTTCATTTCGTATTCCGCGCGTGTATATTTTTACATCAGATGAAAGAAAAGGGAGAAATGTAACGCGAAACGAGAGGAACCGACTGAGGGGTTTCCAAAAGTCATAACGATTAATTACTGTACGAACGCGAGCGTAATCGACTAAAGCTCATCCGCTGATCGCCAATACTACGCGGATGGAATAAAGACTTTATTAAGTAATTTTACGTTTTTTCTCGTTTTTCTTTCAAACAAATGGAAATTTCGTGTGAAGAAAAAAAGAAAGAAAAACTATATTCGAGGACGCGGTGTCCAGCGTGTGAATGTAATAAATGAGCGAGAGAGAGAGAGAGAGAGAGAGAGAGAGAGAGAGAGAAAGCGAGAGTAAAGTGTGAGAATAAATAAAAATCATGCGACAATTATGCGAGAACAAATTTAATAGCGTGCGAATAAAGGAAGAACGATAAGAAAATTATTCGAAAGCGCGGAGCGCGATGATATCGCACGTTTTGAATAACAAGATATCCGCGATTCGTAGAAACAATTCAAGTGATATGATAGTACCATCTCTGCGAGTCCTCTGTAATAAAGTAATATCATGTGTAGAAAGGCGATCGTGCAGTCGCTTGACGCGGGCACAACGCAATTATGTAACCACGTGTCGCTAGCATGATAACGACAAAACCACAAGCATAAGACTGAACCTGCCGAAGGAGGTGTATACAAGTCGAGCGGGCTGCACGTTGCCGCCGCGCGTTGCCATATTCATAAGAGGAGGCAGAACGCGGAAAGCACATCCGGTCGAAAAAAAAAGAAGAAAAATTGTCGCCGTTCCGAATTAAACGCGGTAACCGTCTTTCCTTACGGTGTTTTCTCCACTGCGCTTTAGACGCGGCTTCCCTTCCACGTTGCTTTCCACCTCGGCCTGGTCTAAATCGCTTCGCCGTTGTGATCGAGCGGATGCGAACGTATTTATGAATATGCGCGTCGCGAAAGCGAAATAAATAACAAAGGGATGGTGCACAAGCTAGTGTTTAGATCGGAATAAGCCCTGCGAGAGCTCACTCGACGGCGGTTCTCGTACAGAAGCCGATATTATAAACTAAACCCTTAAAGCAGCCTGCCAAGAATCAAAATACTGTAAAATATCAAACGAACGCTAGCCAGTACAGAATGCTAAGATCTATTTTTTAAGAAGCGAATGTATATTTTTGTACTAAGGCAGGCCTTAGCGTGTGATCGTGTCTTCTTGCACATAAATGGCGAGACGAGAGCTGTGATTGTAACGTGTTGGCTATACAAAACACAGGGAGGGACAGGGAGATAGAGAAATCAACACGAGAAATGTATGTCGAAAGCGTAATCATGCATAGTACGTGAACAACACGGGGGAAACACGATACTAGGATCCCTGATTGTTACCGAGTGAGCTGTAGGCATAGGCAGGACGTTATAAAATCGAGAATAAAACATCTGTGATAAAGTAGAAAATCTTACAAGCGTGTTCGAGAGTGGATGAAGATCGGCGAGTGTCGGTAGAAAATAGGGGAAACAAAATCAGGAGAAAAAAAAGAAAGAGAGAACTGTGGAGAACTGGAAGTCCATGCGCGGGCGTTGATGAAACTTGTACGCGCAAGCGATTTCTTCGAGACTTAAAAGGGAGTCCAGTGACCCTGACTCTCCAAAGAAGAGTTTGTCGTGCATATGATTGATTAGTAGCAACAGATCGAAAGAAAAATGAGAGTGTGAGAGAGAGAGAGAGAGAGAGAGAGAGAGAGAGAGAGAGAGAGAGAGAGAGTGTCTCTCGACAAGATAGCCCGGTCTAACTAGCAGACGACGACGACAACGACCCGATTAGCTCAATCGCGCGCTTTATGTGGGTTTGCACGTTTATTTTTCTTTTTTTCTTCTCGACCAGAGCTGGAGCGATCAGGTGTGCGTGTGCCGCGGAGGAGCCATGGTACTCTTATCGGAAGTCTAGTATACAGTGTAGTGTATATTTCCCGCATGATCCTCGTCGTTTAAAGACGTACAATGTACCATGGCTCTAAAGCGGAATCACGGCCAGCGCGAAGAGTTTTTCTTGTTGCTCCGTCTACGACATTCCACGATGAGAAGCGAGGATCGGAAACGCGACCGCTCCGTCGACTTCTAAACGAACAACGTTGGTCTTCTCGACTCACCCCAGCTAAAGAATCTTTACGCTGCAGCGGCTAGCGTTCCTCCTTCGATTATAATCAGCCGCTGATGGCGAAGCGCGCGCGCATTTAGATAAATTATGATAAAGAAAGAGAGAAAAGGGAAAAAAGAGCGTTATCGTCGACTGAAAGCAAGATCGCACAAGATTATCGGGGTATAGCCGGAGTATGTATATGTATGTATATAGTTTGATTTTGACACGGACACGCGACACGTAGACGCATTTTGTTGAACCCGCGCGAACGAAACAGTCGCCGTCGGGTCAGTCGGCGGCCACGAGTAATATTATAAGTTCCTAAAAAGAAATATTTTACACAGTTTAAGTGATAGAACGAAGAGAGGGCCGGCATACGAATACACACACCCGTGCACGAACAAGAAAGAGAGCATTCAGTTCGACGTAGATTTGTTCACTCGCTCGTTCGTTCATTCGTTGATTCGTTTTCGGCGCTTTCCAATACTTTTGGACATGGCACGAGTAACGTCGTCATAATTTAATCAAGTACGAGTACATATAATGATGTAATCCATTCCAGTCGATGGGAATGAGCGTGATGTAGTGTCGCGAGAAAGATCGGACAGGCAGTGCGTATCGTCAAGAAAAAAATCGGATCCGGGAGAAATCGCCAAGTATTGCATATAGTATATCGATCGGAAGCAGATTTGATCTTGTACGAGTTGTGCGTGTCTTGTTTTGATAATTGCCAAGAGCGTGTTCGATAGACTAACTTAATTCCCAAAAACGACGATCTTGTTAATTTTAAGATGCACAAACGAACTTAGTGTAACTATGTCTATAAGTTTCCGTAGATCGTCTTCGATTAGGTCGACCGATCTTATCTGAACTGAAAATGCGACTTGCGTTATTTTCGAAACACATGGCTCGTACGTTTCCGATTGACTTGTACCTGTCGTCGCGACGTCTGCGATCATCGCGTTCCGTTCGTAACAAATGAT